CCTATTAGGCTTTCTCATGTAGCAAGCTTGCCAACGCCAGTACAGTGAAGCTCATTACTTCCAGGTACTTACCAGTTACTCGCGAGGAACGAAAATTGTTCTACCGTCCTATCGATAACTTGCAACCACCACACATTAAACCACATTAGCATCCCCACGAAAACCAAGTGCTTCCTTCATGGACGCCAAACCCCAACTCTTGTGCTTACGTGCTTAAACTGCTTCAGCTGAGAGCTTCGGTAACTCAACGGGTTCCTATGCTGAGGCCCGCCCCTTTGTCTCATTTTCCACAGTCTGTCGTAGAGATCTATACATCATCTACTCAGCGTTTGTGTCTACGCATTGCTATTAACTTCTAGAATCCAACATGAATGTTCGAACAAACATAAACCGTTATTTGAATGGTTTACTCCTCAAGGATATTTTTGACGAAACTTCACCTACAACTTGGGAGTAAACGTCATTGTTTTTATTACTAACAGCATCTTTGTGCTTCGAAGACAAACCACACAGCCATACGAAAGTAAACGACAAAACATTCAAACTTCCATCATTGCGAACAGATACAGCTCTGAGTCCAAAAAATGTGCAATGCCCCTCGCATACCCTGCTGATCAAAAACAGGATTGTCTGAGCGCATGCCGCTCGACCTTCTACGGAATACAGTTTTCTGCCCGAAGATACATACTGGTACCTAACCAGAGTTGTTGGTAGTCTGGTCCGTCCTGCTCCGGTTTATCCAGAATATTCTAAGGCAATCCCTATCTCTGTCCCTCAGAATAAAATTCCGTTTCCATATCAGCGGCACGCACGTAGTTTTTTTATTTCGTCGCCAGTAGTTGTCGAGTCATGATGGCTTCGTGCAAAGCGAGTTCCAGCACCATAATCCAGGACACGCCGCTTCCATGATAACGTCGTTCATTCGATTCGAGCCTGTAGTTGCGGCCCATCATCGAGTCAGATGTACAATATATGAGGGGTCCTGGGAATTTTATTTTTGAGAAAGTTTGGCCTTGAAACTTCAGGTAGTTCAGAAGGTTCAGCTTACGAAGGTGCCAAAGTCACCCTTATATGGACGTCGTTGTCCATACCAAGCACTGTTTCAGCCAGAAGCATGTGTCTTATATCTACTGGCCGTCAGGAACAAAATGGACTTGACTCATTCTTATGCCACAAAGTTACTATTATTGCTCGTTAGCTGTTAGACCGATGGCTTGAAATTTTCCCGTTTCATCCGTGTGGTATTCAGGCGACAGAATTCTTAGCCCATCATGGAATTCGTGTGATGGTATCCATTGTGCTTAGATTTTCTCGCAATAAAATCCGGTTGCAAGTATCAGCTCAACATGCGTGCATTTATGAATTGGTAAGACGGGGCATTATAGTTACTTAAAGCCGCCTAGTATCTGCAAGCGTGAACTACTTGCTCTGTGTATAAGGTCTTCTAATGCGTTCCCTACATAGGTGTGTTTGAAAGCTAGGGGGTTGCTAAAGGGAGGAAATTCCGAAGCGCCGTCGCCGATCTGGAGGGTCATGGTGCGAGGTTCAGGGCGATGTTCAATAGACGTGTATTTGGATAACCCAGAGGAACAGTCTTCGGGTGATTGGCGGAGAATCCTGGTTACAGATGACTACAGCAACAGATGACGTCCGGTATGTTTGCGGCAAAACGACGTTGTATCAGGGGCTGCGTTCGGTTTGGTGGCTTAAATCCAGCACAACTATAACCTGCGCGTCTATGGAGATCATTCACGAAGGCAGAGCATATGGCTGTTTACAACGTTTTTGGTGGTGGAGTGGATACACAACTATAACCTGCGCGTCTATGGAGATCATTCACGAAGGCAGAGCATGCGGCTGTTTACAACGTTTTTTGGTGGTGGTGTGGATAGATCTATTTTACTGTCAGTCACCAAGATAGATCACAGGATACCGATTCAACAGCCACCTGATCAACAACCAGTGGATAGATCTATTTTACCGTTAGTCGCCAAGATAGATCACAGGATACCGACGCCCGGTGGGTTCAAAGTTTGATGTTTCCGCACGACATCACGCGCAGATTTCAGGCGCAGTTTTGTTCTACGTTTTCAATGATGTAGCGATAATGCGCTCCTGCCCCGACGGCCGGCAATATTTTCGGTTACACAGGTGATGCAACTGAAGCACTACAACAGTGAGGTTTTGCCAAGTTAACACTTACCTCGCTTGTCAAAGCCGCGTGCTCGTGCTTGCATTTATTGCTACCGTACATAGGAATCAGAGCTTAAGACTTGGGCTCAAAGCTGGTACAAGTCGCTCGAGTTCAACGTCAGATCCAAGAGTGAAGTTTTATCAGAGTAAATGCCTCATGACTTGAGCAGCCCAGAGACACATGTTTGCTTTCGCAGGAGAGGCTTAGTGGTTTGAGCAGAACGTTGCACAAATGGTTCGCATCAAATCCAGGACAGAGACCAGTATCATTCAATCCGCCTATAAGGAGCGCGCTACTTTTAACGTTGTTGCGGCAATATGTAGTATTTCAGTGTGACACGAGAGATGAATTCTTCAGCGTATAAATTATTCACTGGAAGTACAAGTTTCCAGATAACCAAGTGGGCTTGGTTTACGGTTTGAACTAGCCTCCGCGCTGCTTCGGTTTTTCTCCTCTGTCCACCGGACTTGCTAGCCACGTGTGTCCCGATTTGGTTAGATAAAAAGAGGTACGGACGATGGTGCTGACTGTCAGGATAAGTTGGGTGCTTCCATTCCACTGTCAGGAGTGGGTTTGGAACACAAACTGAATCTAACGTCTGTTCTATGGATTGAGACCGTCAAGATTTATGCGCTGGGTGCGTCAGGATTTCTTTGGACTGCAGGGCCGACCCCAACTGAACGTCTCACTGATCGAAGCCGGTATATTCTACTTTCAAACAGGTGAAGGCAACGCAATACTGGTCTCGTGTATAGGCATCTGAAGACCTCTGCGTTCTCTGCCGCAAAAACGATATCTAATAATTCAATACATTTAAAATACTGATGCTGATGTTGTCCAGGTGTGCCGAATTCTTTTGCCCTGGTGTACGGAGCTAATTAGCTTGGCTGGAAAAAAGTGGAAGATCAAGACTTCATGCGTTGACAAATCGTAGATCTTCGAGGGGCTAACCTCAAACCAATTATATTTTCTGAATAAGCATTTTTGAAACAAAGGCTGACGTTTTAAATAAGGAAGTAGATGAACTTGGAAGATTGCGCTGGCGACCTGGTTCATGAATAATAGAGCTCTTGGTGGAGAACCTGTCTCATCGACAATAAGGAGGAATGGTAACATGCTCTAAGATTGAGGCATAAAATGAAACATGCATGAATCGGTAGTTATATTTTCGAGAAGGATCCAGTAACATGGTTCATTTCGATGGCTGAAGTGTTTCGAAGGCGTAGAAATGGATTAACAGGAGCCTGAACGGTGCATCGGGTCTTACAGTCATCTAATCCCGGGGGACAAATTATTGCGGTTGCTAGGGCTGAAGTTTGTGCGGTGCATAACAAGGCTGTAATTGGTGCGCGAAATGACCATAGGTACGCCATTTTTGGGTAACTGGTTTCGTTAGTACATGGTAACCATTTCATTCAAAACTGAATTCCTGGAGTGGCTTTTAGTAGCCTACAACGTCGAAGAAATAAAAACAATTAACTCGTATGTCTTCAAGTATCCGATTCCTAATGCTTGTCGCCTATTTTGAGGTCCACTCATGGTTAACCGCTGACCGCTTTTGAGGGCTTACCAGTTTTTTCAGCCCTCGTTGAGATGTTTGGTGATATGCTTGGAAATTCATCTAACCCCATTGGTTAGGGACGTCGTATCGGTTCGGGACTCTTTAAGCACATTTGCCCAATTGATGGCCGATCAGTAAACTTCCGCCATCGAAGACGAATGAGTTTGTCTTATAGGCACACCCCCTGGAAGTTGGAGAATAAGCCTGTTATTATTGTTACATATTGATGTTTCTCTCATCCACACCACCCGGAAGGTTCCAGTAAACTTCCGCCATCGAAGACTAATGAGTTTGTCTTATAGGCACACCCCCTGGAAGTTGGAGAATAAGCCTGTTATTATTGTTACATATTGATGTTTCTCTCATCCACACTACCTGGGAGGTTCCAGAAAACCTGGTGTTGGACCCTCTGATACCCCTGGGCCCTGATAGTTCAATGCATGGCTTATTGCCACTGTACTCTGATGACATGATAATAAGTTAGGACATGGTTCACGCTTTACGCTAGACCGTCGATATCTGCGCCCGGGAGGAAATAAGCGGGCTCCTGCATGTGGTCCCACAGAGAAGGGCCAGTGGACCGCATAACTGGAGCCATTCATTATTCGTGGAGTTGCACGACGCACAGGCCCGGAGGGACGTTGTTCTCCCTCGGATCCTCATTTTGCTGATAAGTCATTAAACCCGAGGAAAAACACGGAAATAACCCATGCCCTCCGCCAAACTGAATATTGGTCCGCCGCCTGAGAGTCCTGAGAAAGGCCCATCTCATCGGCCAAAAAGTTGCAAAAGTAGCGCAAAAAAATTACAGCCGCAAAGCACCACAGGTTTTGGCACATCACGGAAATTCAACTTCCCAGAGCAACACTTGCACCTAAACCTGCTCTCCCAAAAGCACCATAGATTTCAGGGATCTCCAATATACCGCCACGCTTCGTTCACCCAAAACCCCATTAACAAAAGCTGGTTCTTTCATACGCTAGCAACCCTCGGCCTTGTACTGTTCCAATGATATTTGAAAAACCACAGGAACAAGTTGTTTTGAGTAAACTTCAACAAAGCTGATCCGAGTTATCAAACTCCCTAAATTTAGTACAAATTGAATGGCCCCGCAAAGTTATCACTAAAAATCCCGCTTGCGCTGGTCTACTGGCCACTGTCTTGCCAGTTCCATATTCTGTCAAGTTACGCACGTATCGAAAATAGCAAACAAGTACAACCGTTGCCATTTTAGTCTTATCATAGACGGCGAAACACACGCAATACGCCTAATTTACTTTCAAGTCGTCCAAAAAGTAAGAAACAATCCAGCGCGCTGACCGCTTTGATCGCGGGCGGACAGCAACAGCTCAAAGAATAAACATCATCAGGGCTGATGACCACCAAATTTGAACATAATTCCTTTCTGTGTATCGCGGTCACGCAATGAGGGTCCATGAAGAAAATCGACTAGCTGCCGGACTTCAATCGTTCTTT